GCAACTTTGGACCAGATCTGAAACTTGGGTCATGAGGGTGGCAAATTTGGACCAGATCTGAAACTTGGTTCGAGGGGATGGCAACTTTGAAGCAGATCTGACCCCTGTGTCGTTAGGCTGGCAACTTTGGAACAGATCTGAAACTTGGGTCATGAGGGTGGCAAGTTTGGAACAGATCTGAAACTTGGGTCATGAGGGTGGCAACTTTGGACCAGATCTAAAACTTGGGTTTGAGGGTTGCAACTTTGAACAAGATCTGACCCTTGGGTCGTGAGGGTGGCAACTTTGGACCAGATCTGAAACTTGGCCGTGAGGTTGGCAACTTTGGACCAGATCTGAAACTTGGTTCGTGAGGGTGGCAACTTTGGACCAGATCTGAAACTTTGGTCGTGAGTGTGGCAACTTTAGACCAGATCTGAAACTTGGCCGTGAGGTTGGCAACTTTGGACCAGATCTGAAACTTGGGTTGTGAGGGTGGCAATTGTGGACCAGATCTGAAACTTCGGTCGTGAGGGAGGCGAATTTGGACCAGATCTAACCCCCGCTTCGTGAGGGTGGCAAATTTTGACCAGATCTGAAATTTGGCCGTGAGGTTGGCAACTTTGGACCAGATCTGAAACTTTGGTTGTGAGGGTGGCAACTTTGGACCAGATATAAAACTTGGGTCTTGGGGGTGGCAATTTTGAACAAGATCTGACCCTTGGGTCGTGAGGGTGGCAACTTTGGACCAGAGCTGAAACTTGGCCGTGAGGTTGGCAACTTTGGACAAGATCTGAAACTTGGTTCGTGAGGGTGGCAACTTTGGACCAGATCTGAAACTTTGGTCGTGAGGGTGGCACTTTTGACCAGACTGAATCTTGGGTCGTGAGTGTGGAAACTTTGGACCAGATCTGAAACTTGGCCGTGAGGTTGGCAACTTTGGACAAGATTTGAAACTTTGGTCGTGAGGGTGGCACTTTGGACCAGATCTGAATCTTGGGTCGTGAGTGTGGCAACTTTGGACCAGATTTGGAACTTGGGTCGTGAGGGTGGCAACTTTGGACCAGATCTGATCTTGGGTTGTGAGGGTGGCAATTTTGGACCAGATCTGAAACTTGGGTCGTGAGGGAGGCGAATTTGGACCAGATCTGACCACCGCGTCGTGAGGGTTGCAAATTTGGACCAGATCTGAAACTTGGGTCGTGAGGGTGGCAATTTTGGACCAGATCTGAAACTTGGTTCGTGAGGATGGCAACTTTGAAGCAGATCTGACCCCTGGGTCGTTAGGCTGGCAACTTTGGAACAGATCAGAAACTTGGGTCATGAGTGTGGCAACTTTATTTGGGTCGTGAGGGTGGCAACTTTGGACAAGATCTAAAACTTGGGTCGTGAGGGTGGCAACTTTGAAGCAGATCTGACCTCTGGGTCGTGAGGGTGGCAACTTTGGACCAGATCTGAAACTTGGGTCATGAGTGTGGCAACTTTGGACCAGATCTAAAACTTGGGTCGTGAGGGTGGCAACTTTGAAGCAGATCTGACCTCTGGGTCGTGAGGGTGGCAACTTTAGACAAGATCTGAAACTTGGGTCATGAGGGTTGCAACTTTGGACCAGATCTAAAACTTGGGTCGTGAGGGTGGCAACTTTGAAGCAGATCTGACCTCTGGGTCGTCAGGGTGGCAACTTTGTACCAGATCTGAAACTTGGGTCATGAGGGTGGCAACTTTGAAGCAGATCTGAAACTTGGGTCGTAAGGGTGGCAACTTTGGACCAGATATGACCCCTGGGTCGCGAGAGTGGCAAATTTTGACCAGATCTGAAACTGGGGTCGTGAGGGTGGCAACTTTGGACCAGATCTGAAACTTGGTTCGTGAGGATGGCAACTTTGAAGCAGATCTGAAACTTGGGTCGTAGGGTGGCAACTTTGGACCTGATCTGACCCCTGGGTCGTGAGGGTGGCAACTTTGGACCAAATCTAAAACTTGGGTCATGACGGTGGCAATTTTGGACCAGATCCAACTCTTGTGCTGTGAGGGTGGCAATTGAACTTTAAAGCTAGAATAATGAAAAACTAACCATACTTAATAAAATTGTTACTATTAAAATTGATACTAATATCACCTCAATGTATGAGCTGTTAAATGTACTATTCAAATTGTGCTGAAAAAACAACTAGAAGTTCTAGAAGTGAGGGACAAGAATTTCAAGCCTATATCAAGGTATACTTGACAATCACAACACAGCAAATGTTAAGGTATGGTTGACAATCACAATGTAAATTATGGTTTTCTCTAAAACTAATACATATGTTGTAACAATATAAAATAACCTATGTCCAATGCTTATCAACAGTCATGTTAAAAAAAAACTGCAGGCTGTTTGTTATCTATTGACATTCATGCATGTCAAACAACAGGTGGAATTCTATTTCATTTTCGTGAACATTTTTTCACAAACATAAAACAATAATTTTTCATAGCCCATCCTAAATTGCATTGAAACAATTATTCAAAAATTGGTTTCCTTTGCAGAGGATACAATGACTGTGTTTTTCACCGTAATCCTGTTCTGTGTTAATATATGTGATTAAATGTATGCTTACGATATTCAAATAAACTTGATTAAAAAATTCAGTAGGAATCTCTTGCAGTTGCCTATAAATATATATATACATATATATATATATATATACTATATATAAATATATTTTTTTAAATATATAGACCGGTATATATCCCTTCCCTACCCCAAGATGGAATATTAAAAGGGCTGGGGAGGGGGGTTTTGATATTGATATATTCCTCCTAACTTCTGGATAGCTATTCGTGGGTTGCCATTCCCCTCCGCACCAGAATAGGTAGGTTTGTATGGTGGGGCAGTGCAGAGGAGTAGCAGAGCTACAAGACAGGTATGAGCTTGGTCACAGCGCGCTGTTTTCCTTTTTAAAGCCCATCAAGATTAGAAATATAAAAGCAGAATGTTGTTTTTTTTATTTTAAGAAAATTAGCTCATATTATTCATCTTATATTATTGTGAAATATTGTTATTATCTGGAATTTTTATAAAAATTAACCATGCTGGAAAAAATTGGAGATAAAATTTAGTTATCTTATAGATAGAAAATCATGCTTGGGTGATTCAATTTACATTTTTGAAAATTATTTTGAAGTTAATATTTTCAACACTCCTTAATCACGATCTCAAATCATCCTGTAACTCAGCTCTCCCCACTTCATTTCAAGTAGGTAACTCTGACATACAGTTTACATCCTCCACTAGGAATATCTTGGTTATATTCTGTCTCACATGTCACTTGATAATTATATCTCTCACATTTGTCGCTCTGCATACACTGCTATCCATCAGATCAGCTCCATCTGCAACAACCTCACAGTTAGTGCAACAAAAACCCTAGTACGTGCTCTTGTAGGTCTCGTCTGGACTATTCTGTAACTCTCTTCTGTCAGGTTCACCAAAACACTTCTTAGAAAAATTACAAAAGGTTCAAAACTCAGCTGCAAGGCTAATTCTAAAGCCAAAAAATGTGATTACATCACACCACTACTTCGTTCACTTCATTAGCTCCCTATACCAGCAAGGATTGACTACAAACTCTCTGTTCTCTGCCACAACTTTTTCTCTGACCCCTTCGACAGCTTGACTCCTCCGCAGACATGCCTATTCTTTCTGTCCCCAAGACTCGCACAAAAACATATGGTGAACGAACTTTTTCTTTCTGTGCCCCCAAACAATGAAATTCTCTTCCACTACACATTCGCAATATACCGACCATCACAGCCTTCAAAACTGCACTCAAAACACATCTCTATAAACTCTACTATCCTGACTGATCCCCCCCTCTGACCAATAAACTGGACATGTAAATAGTTCTTGAATGTGTGGAGTGAATATACATTTGTTTTGTTTTATATAATAATGTATGTTAATTTTTAAGTCATTGTTACAGAGAGCTTGTTTACACAATATTTCTCGTACGTGCCCTCTGATTGACCCCGCATGAGACGCTGTGTTCACAAAGGGGTGTGGCTTAGGCCTTTGAAGTATTCTTATTTACACCGCCAGCCACTAAAAATAATTAATCTGTTCCAAGTAGTGTTTTGTAGAATAAACGGGATTTTTCTCGAAATGTCATGTAGCTTGTAGTAGGCAGGGCTTAGGCGTCGGTAGATCCACCTATATAAGGGATTGACAGGCACGACGAGACGGAGATTTCCGATAGATTTTCTTAACATTACGAGGCGTGTTTTATTCTTTGTGTATTTGTGTGCTCCTACTTATATGTGTTTATTTCGCATTATTTATTGGCATCATTTAAAGATTAACATAATTGACACATGGCCAACGACATCTGCCATACTGTAAGTTGAAGATTGTAATTTTATTTTATTTTATTTTGTAATTATCTTAAGACATAATAAATCTTAATTAATTGTAACTAGAAACTGTTTTGGGTCGTATCTTTAATATTGTTGATTATATGGTATCGTCCTTTGTTAGGCACTGTTTACAACGAGCCAATTAAAATTAAAATAGGAGATTAATTTCTCCCAATACAAGTCAGTGCGTAACATCATGATTATGTTTGTTACATTGTATGTACAGCGTGGTAAGCCCAGCCCTAGCTGGGGTACCGCGCTATATAAAACCACTAATATTAATAATGATATATGTAAATTGAAATATTCATCAATTACAAGAGAATCTAGGAAATAGAAAAAAAAAGTCAGTTTACATTCATGAGACTCAGTTTATAATTCTGATTTGTTCCACACAGAAGAATATCATTTTATAACTTTTACTGTGTACATCCTAATACTCTTCCCTTAATAAAAAATGTGTCATGTCCTATTGAGCCATATGCAAGAACGTTAATCTCAATGGGAACTAATTCTTCAAGTGGTTCACCAAACTTACTGCTTTCTTAATTTTATCTATAAAAAACAATCTTCGTGCCCAGTCTAATGTCTCATAAAACAAAATAGGTGCATTTATAAGTATTGATAAAGTATACATTTTTAACATGCCTTATAGTCTATAACAGGCCTGCACAACTCAAAATGGACAGGGAAAAGCTAATAAGAAAAAAATGAGAATAAAGAATATTTCGCTACCTCGCTGGCCACAAAGTGGCTGCTGGTGGGCCGCATACGGCCCGCGGGCCGTATGTTGTACAAGCCTGGTCTATAACACACCTTCCAACACTTGATGAGTAGTCTGAGGAAACCAAGGAGATAGCTCAGATCATTTTGAGATTTAACAGACAAGGGTGTACAATAAGAAATACCAGCAAAATTAAATGGTTATTGTACAATTAGGCAGTAAAATAAAAATGGATAATATGACAGGGCAAGGCGGACTTTTCCATAAGTGCGATTGTGGCTAGCACGAACACCGCCAGCCGGGTCAATTTGGAACACAGACTTATCCTGACTTACGGCACTTTGACGCCAGATGGGATTAATGTTATGTCTCTGTTCACAGCTTGACCCTAGCTCCACCCCTCCACGTTCTGACCTATCACAGTGAACATTTTTCTCCCCCTTTTTTTTCACCGCACTTTTAAACTCTCACTCATTTTCCTTCTGCCACACTTCTATTGCTGCCCACAGATACTACTTTCCAGCTAAGTGCTATTTCTTATTTTTATACTGTTTTTTTCTGTTGTTTTGTTCGCTGACAAAGGCTTTCTGCCGACACGTTCGCTGTTTTGTTGCGTGTATTTTTTCAGGTTTAACCCTACTCTGTTTTACTCATTTTATAATATAGTAGACGAGCATTAAGAATAAAATACATCAAGATGCTGAAAAAGAACTTGATCATGTAGTTCCAGCAAGAGAGAAGTGCAGTTGGTTTACAGGTTTAAATTTTTTAGATTTGGAGAGACAAATAAAAGAAATAACAACCCTTGTTGAAATAATTTAATTTAAAAGAAAATAAAAACTTCAATAATTTAAAATTTTTATAAAATGGTAATAGAAATCCATTTTAGTAAAATTTTGAGTGTTATGCAAAAGTCGAAACCCTTCCGAAAAGCCAGTCACGTCAAAACTGCATATAGTTATTAAAATAAACACAACCGCTATCTTCAGCTGGAATATTACCACTTAACTAAAATGGAATTCAAATAGAACGAAATGACAAAAAGTTAACAATTTCAAACTTTTCAACAAATTTTTAGCAGGGGCGCCCATATAATATTAAGGAGGTTATTGCACTGGTGAAAGTAAAGTATAATTTTCTCGGTTTGTGTCCAATTAAATTAAAAAACAAATATGGCAAAAGAAAAACTTATATTAAGGCGTTACAATATTAAGATACTTTTTGTTACACAGGTTTTATTTGACATTAAAAATTATTTAACAACCCTTGACCATTTGTTTAACAGTTACAGTGGGACTCATTATGCAGAATATTGTACAATTCATGGTTAAAACAGAACCAGTTACCAGCAGTCACCATCTTGCAAAATCTAACAACATAGCAAAATTGAGATACCTATACAAAGGAATTTTTCCAAATAAATTTTAAAATCAACAATTCATTATTTATATATAAAGTTGTTGAGCAAAAGAAACCCTTCTCTAAATTAAGATATATGAAAGTTTCTATTATCCCAGCTTTATGTATCCCCCAACTAAGCATTTTATCGTGCGATGTGTCATGGGATAAGTATAGCTCCTTATGCATTATTAAATGGATTATATTTTAAATTTTATACTGCTGCAAAAGCAACAAAATATTGATTAAGAATAGGAATAATTTATTCCTATTCTCAACAATAATCTCTCAAATGAGGCATCTCATTCAATCTATAATTAAATACTGGCTCATGTTATATAGTCACGTTTTCAAAACAAAGACCTGAAATACAGCATAACTATTCTATATTTTATACCAAAAATAATTATACTTAATTTCTTCTAGATTTCTTTTGTGTGGCTACATTGCAATGTTATGAATGTTGCAGGTTCAATGGGAAAGTGCTTTAGTGCAGTTCTTCTCAAAGTGGTGGACCTCAGTGAACACACAAGCTCTTAGTTGCTGGTCCTCAAAAGATGAAACATTTAAGAGAATTGAAATAGAGCAATAATCAATTCATTAGGCACAGCACCCTTTTGTAATGAGGAGAGATTCCTTCCACTCTGCTGAACTGAAGAGTTTGAGAAGTGCTGCCTCAGGGTAACTTGCCAGTATGATACAGACGCATTTGCTTTAGAAGATCATGCTGAACAGTGTAAGATAAACTCATAAATATAAGAACTTATCCAAATTACAAACAAAATCGCCCTTTGTCACTGAATAGGAATGAGAGTCTAATGATGTTTACTTAAGTGTTTGGAACAAACACATTCACTGGCTACTGCTAGCCACTATTATGTAGCCACGTTCCCTAGCCACTACTAGACAGTTATCTAGCCACATTACATAGCCACATCTGTACAGTAATCTAGCCACATTCCATTAGATATTACTAGCTTTATTCCCTAACAACTACCAGCCTTATTCAGTAGCCACTACTAGCAACAATTACCTAGCCACGTTTCCTAGCCACATTCCATAGCCAAAGTTACCTAGCCAGTTACCTAGCCACATTCCATAGCTACTACTAGGCAGTTACCTAGCCACTACTAGCAAGTTACCTAGCCACTAATTGCCAGTTACTTAGCCATATTCCATAGCCACTAGTAGTCTCAGTTACCTATCCACTACTTGCCAGTTACCATGACACATTCCATAGCCATTACTGGCCAGTTACCAAGCCACTATTAGCCAGTTACCTAGCCACATACTGTAGTCACTACTAGTCTTATTCCCTAACAACTAATAGCCTTATTCCCTAGCCAATGTTACCTAGCCACAACTAGCCACAATTTCCTAGCCACTACAAGCCAAATTCCATAGCCACTATCAGCCTTATTACCTAGCCACACTCCATAGCCACTACTAGCCCACTATGAGCCACAGTTCCCTAGCTACCATTGAATTAAAAGAAACACAACAACAGGAGATCAGTCCTGTCTGTTGCATAGTGGTAGCCATCAAGGGGTAGCAGATATTGATTAGCTTATATTCATCCCAGTCATGGGTAAAAAGCAGAATGGAACAGACTCATCAGCGGAGCAATGAAGTTATTCTTGGGGAGAAGTTAAGCCCTGAGAAAAAAATTAAGGAACAATCCACTACAACAGCCAAGTTAGTAGAGGCTTAAAAGTGGGCTGGCTATGCTATCCCAACACACACACACATAAATATAGGTATTAAACTGAAAAATCTAGATGCCACAAACTACATTAATGGATTCTAACATTGAAGTTGCATACCTTCAATTTCACAGTTTCAATTTCAATTTAACAATACTAGCAAGGAATGTAACCAGCTATTGAAACACTGATTTAATATGAAAATTAAATTCATTGAAGAATGGAAATGAGTCTGACTGAAATAGTATGCTGAGTACAAACTAGCCACTTCTAATTATCTAAGAAAACAGAAAATACCTTACAGAATTATTTTTCATATTCAAAACTTAGTGTCTATAAACCAGTTGTATAATTTCATAGATGTCTTTTTTCTTTCTATTTCTAGGCTCACCAAATATTGATTTAACTGTACCTAAAAATTTTAAAAAACACCCACCTGAAAGCTGTGATGATTTAATGGACATCCCTTAGATGTAAAAAACATTGATTGCTACTCCCCAAAGTCAGAGATCTGTGATTTTCTTGCCATTGTTGACCAAAATTAGTAACTTAAAAAAAGGGTAGGACAGCTATAGAGCCACAGTAGATTAGAGAAAAAGTACTATACATACTAAGATAACTAAGTGAAAATTAATGATTAAAGTGATAAAACTCTTAAATAATCTACCTTGTTTCAGGTGTAAGCTTGGACAGAGTTATCTAGCAATAAATGTGCTCAATCAGTTTTTACATAATATAAAATCTGAACTTTGGCAGTTGAGTTCTTACCCACTTTAAAATTGTATTCTTACTAAGCTAATAGATTCCATTCCAACTGCATAACTATGACTTCAGCAGTCAAATACATCCTAGGAGCCCTAGCAGCTATAATGAGCCAGAGAAGGTAACTGGGGCCCTTAAAATTTACGTTATGCCAATGTTTCATTTCTTATTCATCTGTTATGTAAGGTGTTTGATCTTTGACCTCTAGGTCAGTTATCTACAACATATCATCATCATTATCAAATGCCTCAAGAGTTCATCAAATAGACCCAACTTCACATCACATGAAATAAAAAATTGAAATTGAAACGGTAGTTAGCAGTTTTACCCAAAAAAATAACTGAAGGGATTTTATTCTGACAAATTTACAATTGAAATTAAACTAAGGGACTATCAAAGCAGAATCAGAGAGTATGTATTGATGAAACAATTTCATTTAATCTTAAAAAGTATACCTAAAGTGTACAGAGATGTCACTCAATGAAATATGCATGGGATTTAGTTGGATAGTTTATTGCAGTGTTTAGTTACAGTTGTGACATATAAATATTGCCAAATGATTTACTTCTTGGTTCTTTAAGTATGCCAACTGATCCAAGGAATTAAAATAAAATATGTGATGCTCTAAAACAGAAACCTTACAAATATACAAAAATAAACAGTTATTTCAACAGGGGTAAAATGAATAAAGCAAAAGAACATTTTTAAAAAGCAATGCAGCTTTTCACAATTAAACCAACAAAATTTAATCCAAAATATGTAAATAAAACATTTTTTGATATTCAAAGAATAAATGCTTTGTATATAAATTTTCCTATTCAACAATAAGTGAACATTTTTTTAACTTAATAACAAATTTTTTTAGGCCATCCATTTCATTCACAGAACAAATTTTTTTTTAAAGAATTATATTAAAAATAATAATTACTTCCATCAACACACAATCACAGAAAAGAAGTTAAACATACAGTTGCTGGCAGTCTGTAAGAGAAATGACATAAAACCACTAAGGTTTCAGATTTCATTCAACTTTCACTAATAACAGAGCCCACTTTAAGCCATATGAATGAAACAAGTAAATTATTCAAGGATCATTAACATATGAAATCCTGCCATTGCTTTGGATATTCCCTCATTTATTTTTTTAAAAGTTTGTGACTCATTTAGTTCCCCTCCGAGTCTAATTTTTAAGCAAGTGAATAATTTAACAAATATGTTTTTAAAATACAAGCTCTACATTTGTTGCCATTCTAAGGTAGACTTAGTATATAAGTTTTTCATTCTTTGCCATTCCAAGGTAGACTTAAAATTATATTTTAGATGTTATTTTAAAAACATTGATATAATTTAGTGCTATTCTGTTAACCTTCTTCTGGATATTGCAACTAAATGCAATGCCACAGAGTATGTCATGTATTAATGAGCCTTAAAATAAATATACATGAATATCAACATCAAACAAATTAAATATGCAAGAATCAAGAGAGGACAATGGTAAAAATAGTTTAGTTTTATTTGGTTTTATTTTGTTATACTTTGTCCAAAAACAAATACTGATAGACCCAAAAAAATATTTAATTTTATTCAAGGTGGAAACAATAATTTGGAATTTTATGACAAGGGGAGAGAATTTTACCAATTTTTAAAAAAAAAAGATTGAAAGAAAAAATTTGTTTCTATTATTGTGTATATAATTCTTATAAAACATCAATTAAGCATTTATCTGCCAATTCTAATCTGAATATTTGTTTTTATGTTAGTAAAGCTAAGTATAGCATTAAATATGTGTAGCTTACACTGTGTTGGTCAAAACTTATTAAATGATTAGATAGTGCCCTGGCCAGCTTTTAAAATATACAACAATTTTATTTCATTATGATTGGACTTTTAAAACTTCACACTGAGCCCCACCTTCGAAAATGTCACAAAAAATCTTTTTAAAGTAAATTTACATTGCTGTTAAAAAATGTTGTACATTTATAATTCTAACATGATCAAGATTTTAGCAGCTTCTACCAAGGGACCAAAACACTTGTTTAATGTACATCTGTAGAATTATGTAAAATATAATACATTAGAATAAATTTGGATATAGTGGACATTATGTCTTCTCAAAGGTCTTATACAAATAAAAATGAATAAACATGGATGAGAATCAATTTGGGAATGAAAAAATTCGGTAATCCCTTTTCAAAGGCATTACAATACAAAAAATATATATAGAACATTTAAGCAAATTAAGTATGAGTAGAAAAAGTTTTAAAGAAAAAATCAAATGAGCCTAGCTGCATTGGAATCACTATCATATTTGGACACACTTTTAGTTGACATTGTCATTTCCTCTCTCTTGTTGACAAATTTCCTCCTAGACTATGATATGCAGGTAAAGAAAGATGTCCCATTAAGACATGAGGTAAATGTCCTTTATGAGAGAATAAATAACACTGAAGCATTGCCACAATCAGTTACTTGAGCTCATCCTTGACAGAGGGACTCAAACGAATATGGTATAGAATCAAAAGAAAAAGGACAGTTACTGCTAAAATACCCTAATGCTCCTTGTTTACTACAATAGCTGTGTCTCCTGAGCCCGCCCCTTGTGCTAGTAAGGCGTCATCAGTACCATAAGATGGGTGACTGTCTCTCTTTATACCAGTGGTTTCATCTAGATTCTCATCCTCCTTGTCCTCTCTCATCCCCCCATATGGCTGGGATACAACAACTGGATCATCAGGTGAACTGCTTGGCTCTTCCTAAGAAAAGAGAAAGTTTATGTTTTTTAAAATTTAAACACAAAACTTTAGACAGTGGGACTATGCAATTGAGTAAAGAGAAAGTAAAGAGAGTTATTTAACATTGAATAAGTTTATGATTTCAGATTTTGTTGTCAAATACTAACCAGAAAGTAATTCTTTTGTAATGTAATTGATTAATATATTTTGGCTTTAAATCTTAACATACTTATTAAAAACTATTTTTGTTACTTTTCAAAAAAAGTTATATTACCTAAATGCTGCTTCACAGGATGAAATCTTATAATATTGTAATTTTAAACAACCTACAATTTAGATTAATACAAGCGTAGCTATGGAAGCAAAGAATACAACTCAAAGTCAATAATTAAATTTAAAAAATTATGGTTTCAAGATTACAACCAAAAAATGATAACATAATTAAAAAAATAAAAGTTATAAATGTCCCATATTGACTCCTAAAGCAAATAAAGAGAATTAAATCAAATACAGTATAAAGACATTCTAACTCTTACGATTAAATAACATTTTAATTTAGCTCATTAAATTCATATTTAGATTTCATAAAATTGTTTGGCAGACCAGTAGACAAGTATCAAAATTGTACTAAGGACCAGTGGCTTCAACAGCACTCAACTTTTGCAATTTTCTTTTTGTAATTGGTAATGTAGTTAAATTTTTATATGGTTTGAAATTTGAGATATTAAAATTAGTTTCTTTCAAGGTTGTTTACAGTACGCATCATATGATCTACGTTTTGTTACATTGTTTTGTAAATTTCATATGCTTTAAAAGAAAATAACAACTGATATGAAAAAGAAAGATGAAAAAATAAAGCGTTGCCATGTTTAGATATTTTCAAAGAAGCTTTACATATTTATTTTGAATAGGTTAATTAAACAACTCCTACAAACAAAGTTTTTTGTATGAATCCATTACATGAATTTTTTTTATTTTAATGTACATTAATATTCTAATGACCCACACACTTTTACATCGCATATTTATTACACCAACTATTTCAGAAAAAAAAAAAAAATGTTACACACTTAACGCACTTGTGATATTTTTAACAATCTCATTTAGTTCAGTTATTGGGAATTTTATTATGTGAAATCAGTGGCATCATATTTCCTTCATTTCCCTTGAAAAACAGGAAAAACTTATTTTTGGGGCTTTGGGTGGGGTGGGGTGGGGGGGGGGGCTGAAAATAGAATGGGGATGAAAGAATGTATTGTCATCGGCAATGAGTCTATGTGCAAAGTTTCAGCTCAATAGGTTGAGGGGAAGTGGGTCAATTAGCCTTCCAAAGATTTTGCTATACACCCACCCAGAAAAAAAAACACATGAATAAAGTGAAGTTAATATAAAGGTTTTAAAAAGTGAGTCCCTTCTTTAAAAAAATTATAATTATATAAATTGACCTGAAAAATTTTCATTTTTATTATAACACTTCATAACAAATGAAATTAGATTTTTTAATCAGTTTGTAAAATTTTAAAAATTTATTTAATAAAATTAGATAACATAATCCTTTAATACTTTTTTTCTTAATTGAAATAAGGTTTAAAATGAAAAAAATCCATTTTTATTTTATTCTGAATTCAAATAATTATAAACAATCAAATATTATAAACAGAAAACAAAAGCCTAAATACAGCAAAAAAATATCTTTTTTTTTCAGGTAGGAAAATTTTAAATAAAATATAATTCAATAAAATTCTTCACTCGTTTGCATAAATATCAAATAAAAATTGTGCAAATTATATAAGCAAACATTTCAAACATTAATGAGCAAGAATGGTCTGCTGCAATAAAAAAGCAATAATGCCATGTGATAGGAAAATAAAAGCCGCTGCTAAAACTAAACAATATTGCCATGTGGTAGGAAAATAAAAGCCGCTGCTAAAACTAAACAATATACAATATTCATCTAACCTTTTCTTCCATTAGCCTATCACCCTCACTACTCACATGTAGGTTAGCATAGTCACCATCCTCTTCTGGTGCCTGAGGGCGACATTTGCCACAACAGAAGTTACAGCACATGCAGCAGCAACAGCAGCAGTAGCAGCCAGTGATGATGCCACAGAATATGGCTAGGGCCTGAAGGAAATAAACAATGATGGCTAAATAAAGGGAGATAACTGAGCAATGTCAGAAAGGAATTAATCCAACACAAGGATATAGTATACACTCCCATTTATAATATTAATTATCGAATATACGATTAATTTATTTCAACATTTTAGTTTTAATTCTAGTTTAAAAAATATTACCAAATAACTTTTTAAACATTTTAAGTAAATAATCCGCTTAACAATATCATGTAAGGGTTTTTAGAAACTTTAGCAGTTTAGAAAGAAAAAAAAAAAATTAAAAGGTCGTGTTCCATAAACATCTGGCAATGAATTTGAAATAATTTATATTCTCTCTATTCCCTGGAATGTAACATACACATAAAATTCAATTCCATAAAAAGCATGGAGCAAAGTCAAAACATACTTTTTTAATATGATGAAAAACTCAAATAGCATAAGAGCAACTCTACTATAGTCACTATAACACACACAAATGTGACACAAAACTACAGTGACTTACAAAGGAAGTCCATGGTAGTGTTAAACTCAGGAATCCCACTTTTTCAGACATAGTTCTAGTTATAAAATTTAATGTTTATGTAATAGATATTTAGATAACATCAGTGTTTTCCCTCACAGCAGGCCATTTGTCAGCAGAACTGTTATCTTCCAGACCAGCATTTCTCAAAATATACTGTTCAGAATATTTTACTTATCTAATATCCTATTGATTCAGTAAGATTTTCATATTTTTAAAGAAAACACTGCCTAATTTAGAGTGTGATCCATCTAAAACTCACTAATATATTAAAAATTTGAGAACTGCTTATTTTCGCCTATGGTCCACAAAGTGCAAAATTTTGAGGTTTAGAAATAAGCCAGAAGGTTGAACTAAAGTTTTACATCAATTGTAAATTCTGGTAATTAAAATCTATTTAACATTCATTCATTTATTTTGGGAATGAATGGTATGTATTTTTTTATTACATAAGCAAATAAGGATTTTAGACCAGTGTTCTTAACCAGCCTAAATTAATCCCAAACTTCCCCAACCCCCTTTTACACCCACATATATCAAGGACATGCGTTAGACCCATATATATATGAAGAACATAATTTAAACCCAAATATGTCAATGACATACCTTACACCAGCCGCTGGTAAGCACAAGGTAAGTGTTGACATTTTCCTCACCAAACTGTTCAGCAGCGTAGATTCCCATTGAGCCATACCTATCGTAGATGCCTCTCTTTGTACTGTCAGTAAGGATCACATTTGCCCGGTTGATTTCTTTGAACTGGACAAAAATAATTGTCAAACTGTGTGTCAAGTTATAAAACATAAATTACGCATTGCACAAGACAGAAACAAATGATCACTAAAACAAAATTAAATAATTCAACAGTATGCTTCACCTATCGCTGCCTAAATCTACTTAAATGTTAATTAAATTTATACCATCACATAAATTATATACAACTTCCATGAGCATCATGTAACAATGTTAAACAAATTCTCTTGTACACAAAACTAAAAATAATATATTTTTTATATCAAACGTGTCATGCAGAGATTTATGTGGTACACATTAGATTGCCCTAACTAAAAGCGGAATCTATATCTTATTTACAAAACTAACGAATATTGGCCTTTTACCTTGTCTGCAGCATCAGGACTATCTCTGTTCTTGTCAGGGTGAAATTTGAGTGCAAGCTGTAAAGTGAGGCAAAAGAAGACTTATCTTACCCACTTATCACACCCAGCATTTAATCTGAGAAGCTTCACTTAAAGTTTAACCAAGCAAACTTACTTCACTATTTACACTGTTGCCAACAACAGGGCCTCCCATATCCATTTCATCTTACCATACAACTAATAGCTTACACACTGTGCTCCTCATAAAATAAACCATTAATGTATATTAAACCAAATAAAAACCAAAATTATATCAGCCCAAAAATTGTGTACACTAAGTTATCAAATACCCAGACAAAGACTTTCAAGATCAAAAGTATATGTATGTAGTAATCAAAATAAATCAATAAATTCATCTTATCTAATCTTAATAAGAAGTAGTTTTAGTCACAGATATAGCAAAATGTTGTAAATCCAATAGATTAGATGCCTCATTAAACTCTTACTTCCCTAATTGGTCAGTTAATTGTAATAACAAAATCACTCTCTAGGCATTTAACAAACATAATGAAATATATATGGACTCAAATTTAAATGCATTTCATTTTATTATAAATTTTAATTGTTAAAATTATGAAGAAAAAAAATTGGCTCATTTTCATTTTGTAAATGGCAATGTGCTAACAATTTCAGTGGACTAGACCTTTAGAAAAACAACATCATATAGGTTTAATCTCACAACTCTCATGCTGCTTTTATTTCCAGACAGTAAAATACTCCAATAACACCATCGGTGTTTAGTTTCTGTGAGGTGTAAGAAGGTGACGGCAACATGTGTATTCAGTCTCTCACAAGTGTAAGACCACCTTACCTTTCTATAAGCTTTCTTGATTTCATCATTTGTGGCTCCTTTCTTGAGACCCAACAGCTCATATAAGGAATTGCCTGAACGACTGGAGAATGAGATCAAAGAAACAATTTGATATTTGTGTGTGAATAATTGCCTACTTATCTGATCACTCATAGCACAGAGTTGGCATTTCCCACACAGCTCATAGTAACAACATTGAAAATGTCCCTGATGATCTCACAGGTCTGACCTATGCAAAGATGTATAGTCTACAAAGTCAAAGAATATCAAATGTTCTGTGGTGTAAGAAAGGGCCTTATTTCTTCTAAATTATCTAACAAGGGGGGTGGGGGTGGTTGTTGTCCAGGTTTTGTAACACAACCTACTCCTCACTTCATTTATAACAAAATATCTCACTAATTCTCAAGCTTTAGTACTATCACTGGATTTAATTTATGACACTACATTAGAATAACTACCAGCAAATGTAACATCGGTATATTTCAACAAAACCTGAGATATACAAGGAAATGCATCCACATTTATTGATTATAGAAGAACAAATCTAGACTTTGAGCACCTGAAATGTGTTACAGCATTTGTTAAACTATAGTTATCAATCCTTAGATCATACCCTGCATAAAGAAATAATTTTTGTGCCAGAGACCTCGTTTTTAATACTATTGCATCGATCAACACTTGGTCCTCAATGGAGAAATTATATATTTTTATCTATTGCAGTAAGTTTTTAGCCAATGTGTCCATCTCTCTTCAATAAAGCTTCACCTAATTCTTTAACACAAAATTTTATGCTTTAAAATCTACTTCACATCACATCATTTCTGTTAATTAAAAAATAAATAATATCAGTGCATGACGGTAGTAATTAGCAGACATTTCTCATTTTTACAATACTGTTTTACTTTCATATAGACATGATTGGATTCAATCCTTATTTCTTGAAAGGTCACATTCCTTAAAAACAAAACAGCTTATTCATTTCAGCAAAAGTGCATACAAAAATATATAAAATAATCCCCTGGGGCACAGTGGGCATTAATTGAAGAAAAAATTTGCAAATTTACATTGAGGAATTCATGTATTCATTGGGCTTTGTAATGAGATATAAAGATAAAACATAAAGCTATTATGATTGTGCATTATGACTTCACTGATACTATAGCCTTGAGTGGCATAAAATATCTTACCACTAAAAGGGAGATAAATAATCAGATGGCTAGAGATAAACAAAAATAGGTACATTATATTCTCAAAGGGGGTATTTTTTTGTTTGGCAGGAAATCCATCCTTTTATCAGTTATTTCCAAAAGCCAATGTAGATGTGAAGTAACAATTCCCTGTTTTAAGGTTAAGCAATCAAGAGAGTGTTGGATTGTTTTAAATCTCAAGAATAATAGTTGCGACTGCGATGACCATTTGGGAATTTTAGAGCACTAGTTTATCCAATGTACACCAAAGCAAATTTTTGTGTGTTGAATAAATTAATTTGCAGATTTGGGGCAGAGACTGCACAAGAGTAAAAACTGCATCCATAATTTTACATACCAGTAATATAAACATTAGTTCCAGTTATTTACAAGACTTACATTTCTGCCCATCATTACCATCTTATTTTTTATGGCCTATTTTATAGTTGATATTATAATATATGGTTTGTCTAGTAAAAGACAATGTTTTGTTTGTAAAAAACAAAAGTGCCCCCCCCCCCCCCACCTTTTTTTCTAAGTTATAAATGTATTTTTTTATATTATTTTATTGGTGTCTTTTACTTTTATGAATTATTTTTAACCAACAAGGTCACTTTATACTGTATTTCAATCATAATATTATGGGGACATGCTGTTCAAAATAGATCATGACTGCAATAAAAGTAGGACCCAGAAACTAAGGACTGATATCACTGTGAAGTACTAATTTCCTAAATCAATAAGACATAATAATAACAGAATAACAATAATTAGTGTTCCTGTCAATGTCATGCTACATATGACCTTACATATTAATTATCCCAGCTGTCTACAACCAATAATCATGTATTGATTATATATTTAAATATATAAAGCTAAATTCTTGTTTGTTTACTTCTACCCAGACAACTATGTAGGTTAATGAGAAAAAAAGGATTGATTAGAATGTAAGGTGGTTATCCCAAATTAATGAAGCAAATATTTTAAGTTATTGAAGTTACAGACAATTATTTATTTTTTTATGTCTTTAATGAGCAAGTAGAACGACTTTGTTAAGGACACCCTAAAAGTCCACAACATGAACCTCCATCAGGCGTCACAACTTTCAGCTAATCCCCAACTTTACCTCCCCACGATGCTTCCATGGTAAAAAGGGACAGATCAGGAGAAAGATTAGCAAGGGTGGTGGGGAGAGAATTATTTTTTGCCTTAATGAGTAAGGCTTTTGGTGACTGAAATTTTTTTTTCTTCAACTCTGCATCAGTTGATGTGGTAATGCAGAATTTCTTAAATTGAAAAAATTAAATATGAGAGATGATCTAATCTAGACATTATATGAAAATGATTATATAAAAATTGATGTGGATTATATTTTATATTTCCTTTGGAAGAGAATTTGCAGAAACAGGGCAATATTTACCCACAGGATATTTAACTATCTGGGACTTGCACTGTTTCTATTATCACAACTTTATGGTTGAAAATATATTTGGTGACTGAAGAAGTTGGCGAACAGAAAATATATTAGTTGTTTTTCTATCCAGCTGAGAGCAAATTATAACTAAATATTTTGCTCTTTATAATATTTTTTTAAAAAAGTTTCTTGCAATAATTTAACAAAATCAACGGTGGACATATATTTTTGTTACAAACCATTTCTTTGGATCATGACCATGACCTTTGTGGAATGCATGATGGTATACACTTGAGGTTGTCAACATGGTTTCATAACGATCATAGATGTTGGGGGGTTAAACCCAATAATATTAGTAACGTTTGTTTCAGGACAGATTTCATCTTTAGTGGGCTCGCTCCTGCAACGCTGCACAATTAGGAAAAATTAGGGGCCTCGGAGATTTATGTGACAAATAATTTAACTACAGGTACTAGGTACTTAAGGAATGTTGTTATTTTTAAAATGCAGACTCAGCCATTCCAAAAAATAAAAGTGCAAATTTTATTATTATAAAAATAATATTTGTTACCAGAGGCCCATGATGAAATGATATCTAAATGCCCAAGCTGAAGGGCTGAGGATGAATATTGGATAAACTCCCATGGTAAATAAAGGACAGCGAAATGAAAGAAAGTGTAACAAATTAAATAACTGGGTTAGAAATAGAAGTGCAAAATATAACCAATAAAATGAACTACCCTGGATACTATAAACACCACTGTAAAAGTTAAAGATCACTTATAATATCAAAGCTAATCATATTCCATTTACAATTATCATTTAAGATTTACAATTATCATTTAAGTAAGGGACATTGACACATGAAAGCATTATCAGTTCAAACAAAAAACATAAACCTAAGGGCAGTTTGCAAGTAACCTTTTGCTTTTGCTTGGCTCAGGTCTTCACTATTTATATAGTGAATACTATTGCATAAAGTGACTAATACGGAATAAAAAAATAAAAAAAGAACTAAGATGAAGGATGGGGAAGTGAGCTCAAATGTTTCAATGATAAAACATCCCATTAAAGAAACCTTTAACCAATGCATAGCTTTATATACTTATAACACTGGCTGATGCACTAGGTCACGGGTGGGAAAACTACACCCCCCCCCCCCGGGCAACAAATTTTATGCGCCCTCCCAAGCCCTTTCAAAATAATATAAAATTACTTCGTTTTTAACACTGGCGGATGCACTAGGTCACGGGTGGGAAAACTACCCCCCCCCCCCCCGGGCAACTAATTTTATGCAGCCTCCGATGGCATTTAGAAATAATATAAAATTACTTCGTTTTTAAGTTATCTTGTTGAACTATAAAGAATTTCATGTGCCGTTGTGATTGTTTTAACATTTTTTATAAAATTTCTTTCCAATTTTCCCATTTTTGTAAACAATCCTTGACCTTCGTAATGTAATGCTAATATGGCAAAGTATATATGCGGCCCTCCAATAGCTTTTCATTTTTCAATGTGGCCCTACGCACACAAAGTTTGCTCACCCCTGCACAAGGTTCATCTAATTTTCCTGCTCTCTATTCCTCAGTGACCTGGTTAAGGATTTATTGAACACATTCATGGACATTACATAGTGCACAACTTCAGAGGTCATGCAGTCAACAAAAAGAAAGAAGTTTATATATGCATATATAATGCATGTTTCCTTGACTAAAAGGAGAAACATAATTTATTTAGGAGGAAGCGGGCCTTTAAAACTACCATTTTTTAACAACTTTACTTCAATGGTTATTCTTCTCTGCAAAAAATTAATAAAACAGTTTGTTTTTTTAATTTCTAATAGTGAAATTGTGTTTACATCTTATTCATGTCATAGTCAATAAATATACACACATAAATAATTAAGTATTTATAAATTTAAAAAACTCTTATGAATCAAAAATGTAAAAATTAAGTGATGTAACAAAGACAAAAGGTAATTGAGGATAACAAATATTTCTCAAACGACCAGCCCAAACTTACCAGGTTTTAGATGGCTAATAAAAGTTCAACTGTAACAAAACAGATTCATATTAAAGACATTTTTGGACATTTTTTGATCTTGAGGTTTAAATGAAACAATTTGATTTTTTTTTTTTTGAATGGTTTTTCACAATTTTATAATTAATATGTCCTGTAACTAACTTTTAAATAGGTTTTATTATAGTCATAGCATAGAAAAATTTAGACAATGTGAACCATTAGATCTGATCCATATTAACCATATTGTCTTGATTCAAAAGAACAGAAAAGGCCATCTAATTTCAATAGCTTTAACCCGTTCAGGATGGAGCCTTTTTTTGAGTGTCTATGCCAAGCAGACGGAGCTCTTTTTTTACCAGCTCGGCCCTCATACTTCAAAAATAAATTATTAAAAAATAAACTTTTTCCTTTTCATGTATAAAACTATATATATATTCTTGTAGGAAATTGAATGAACTAATACAATCTTTATGAATCAAACTGAAATCTCAACATTTATTCAAATGAGCAATCCCGATTTGCATAATTTATGAGTGTAATTTTTTGTTAAACTTAGAATTAACATCACCTGTATAAATTTTGTTATGGATGAAGCCTGAATAAGACCTAACACTAATGTTTTGGAAAACAAGGCCCATGGAGGCCCTTCATACACCTCTGTAAATGGTTCTACTCCTTTTCCTGCCTCAGGTTATTTTTCAGTTGCTACAGACACTCACTGTTACAGGCACCCATTTATTACCTAGGGACCTTCTCTTTAGCTGGAATGTTACTGAGAAAGTTGTCTGCATACCTATTGGCGTCTCTCACAAACATTTGACATTTAGTTTTAAAAAATAGCATAAAGTATTCAACTGGGGTGCTTTGCTTCGAGGCACAATGATAGGTCCTATATTTTCTAAACATTCATTGGGGTACCTCTATCCAGTTCTATCTCATAATACCAAACCAAGGGTTCACAACATAATTATTATCATTTTGATCGTCTTCATTACTTTCCTGTTTGTTTTCATCAGTGTCAGATTACTGCTGAATATCAGAATTACTAAGGATAGTTTGATCAGTGTCACTGTCAGACATTTTGGAATTTTACTATATTACTTGCAACCCCAAAAAAATTCCTGAACACAACAAAAGCTAGTAAACAATCAACTGAGGCTGCCATTAAAATCCCAGGATGTCCAAGAAAGGTAGGAAACAATCTGATTAGCTGGTATGAAGACCAGCCAGCCTTGAGGCTTGAATTATCGGAGCCGTGGATCATCCCAAGAGAGTTAATTTCAGACCAGTTATGGGTTAACACACTAGAAGTTAATAAAACGAGGAACTTGGGTACCACTTATTATGGTGAATCTGTGTTAAGGCTAATGATCAAATACAACATTTTATCTATTTTATTTGCATTTAAAAATGGTAATAATAAAAATTTTACACAATCTGCTAAAAATTCATATCTATTAAAAAGTAAAATTATTCAAATGCATGCATGCATACGAGAAATTTGGGTGGAATGGTAATAATCAGTATATTGCATTAACTTTAAAATGAGACAATTTTGACAATAGTTAAATAGACAAAAATTTAACTAATTAATGACCACAAGCTACTGAAAGTGGTTGAAGAATATATCCACAGCAGGCAGTAACCACTCATAATCTAACCCGGTGTTATTTTGAACCTAAATAGCTGTCTGATCTAAACTATAAAAGTGTGATTTTTGCTCAAACTTAATGATAATAATATTTATCAACCTTTTAAAACCAGTAAAAAATCTGCCACTAGCAATAGCAAGAAGGTGTCGATTAAGTCCCAAGTGTGCATGCAAAAGTGCTTTTGCATGTATAAAAATGTATTTAAAAAACCTGTGCATGAAGAAAATGATACGGTCGACAGAAACTGGTAGCCTTGAATTTGATATCAGTGGACAAACTATTGAAGGCCGAAGAGATGAAAAACATACAACACATACTGGTTATCATTCAGTTCACAGCCATGGAATCAAAGTGGTTACGTAAGTTCTAAATTCCACCTGAGAGCTAATATGTTTATTAATTTGCTTCACTCACTAGGATTGTGTCACCCAGTGAGGTAAGTGCATAAGGCTTCTCTAATGGATTTTCTCACTCTTCCCATATGACCAGAGAGAATCATCTTTATAAATAAAATAAAAAGAATAGAATTTGAGGTAGCTAAAGCCAACTGTTATATTTTCTTTTTCTATTTTGGTGTCTCTATCTCCTGGGAGAATATCACCTGGTGTGGTACGCACACCCCGCACGCCATCCTCTCCAATGGAACTACTATTTTTATACATTTATTTTATCATCATACATAAAAATATCCCTTCTGCTATTGATAAGTTCATTTCACCAGAAGAAGATATTTCATTTAAGCTTACAAGTACAACAAAACTTAAAGGTGGAGCTGGAAATTAAACAAAATAAAGACTTAAAATTACAAGCTCTAGTTGTGTATCAGAAATGCACCAGATCTGAAAATCTATAGGCACTCATAAGATAGTTAATTACTCTTTTTTTCATTTTAGCAGAAACCTTAAAGAAAAACATACCATGTGGTATGTTAAAAATTAAGACAAAAAAAATAATTAAATATTAAATATAGAGGAGTCATGTCAAAGGCAAGGATGGGAAAATGCAACTCTTTGGACCACATGTGGCTCTTGGTTCAATTCATTGAGGCTCATGTTGGAATAGCCAACTTCTGCAATTTTATTACATTTGCATTATAAAACATTTATTTTTGTTAAGTAAAAACAATGCTCTATATGTACTTCAAAACAGTGAAGTACCATTCTATTTCATATCAATAAAGGTATACTAAAATTGAATATATTTAATTTGCAGTGTCTCAAGATATTCGTCCGGCGACAATGTCACATGACCGCCATAACAAAGTTGCACGAGGCATTTTCCCGTCAGCCTTATCACATGACCGCCAATAGTCTATCAGAAAAATGGCGTCAGAGATGCATGTGGGCGACGTGTTTACTTTATTGCAAACATTTTAAAGGGTGGGGGCAGGGGGTTAAGCAATGCATACTATAAGGAAGAAATGCTGAGAGCAAGAGTGAAAGGATAAAAATCATTTCAAGGGTGATAAACAATTAAAGAAGGGAGATTTCTACCTCCCTTTTTACCTTTCAGAATATTTTAAATTCTCCATCGCTTGCAGGTAAATGATATTATTGGTTTAACATTTATTGTAAGTAATTATTTACAAACTATGAACCAGACATTTTTTTATTGTAAGCTTTGACTCTATTGTCTATATTCGAATAATTTATCAATAACGTTTCTATATTTCTTTTCTGGAAGATTTCAATTTCCCATCAAATAAGTAGTAGTAAATTTTGTTCATGTAATTAGTATATTGTATTGGAAAAGGAGCATGAAGGAAGCAAAAATTTAAAGGTTCTGGGTGGCCGAGCGGTCTAAACTGACTCAATCAAAATGGCTGGTGGTCTGGAGTTCAATCCCCACCAAAGCCAACATCCGAAGCACCCCGGGTGGATGGGACTCGTTAGCCTTGGACGGCAACTCATCTAAGAGAAAGCAAACTCTGAATTCAAACCAAAAGCCAGAATGATAAAAAAAAAAACTGATCGTGGGCTTACAAAAAAAAAAGGGAAAAGAAAAAAAAATCATCGCATCGACCATTGCTGAACAGCATTCCAGATGGCAAACAGCAGTGAATGAAGGAGTCAAAAAACGAAGCCCTTGCAAAAAAAAGAGCAATATAGAACGCCGAGATTGCCATTCCAGAATTAGCCTAGGGAGCCCTTTGTTGAAGTGTACATAGCTACTCAATTGTATCTCAAAGATGGAAAGGATGCTATATTGAACTATATAATAAAAAAAAAAGAAATTAAGAAAAAATTTCCTTTTCAGACATTATCAAGCTTTCTCAAAAAAATATTATTAGCACCATAATTAAAATTTTATTTGATATTGCTATAAATTTAAAATGTAATTAACCTGCATTACGTTTTTTGTGTAAAAAAATTACATGTTTAAAAATAATAATTTAATTTTTCAGGATTTTTTCAACTTTAAAATAAATATTTATAATGTAATGTGCAACTTTTGTTGTTTATTATGTATTTGAGAGTACTCCTAAAAATTTGGTACAATTATCTTTACAAATAAAAAAATTTGTTGGCGAAACAGTGAGGAAATTTGAAAAGTGGGTTACATGTTTTTTGGGTCAAATATATAGTTTCAGTCCTGTTTACCCTCAAACTCCTAAAATTTTACAATATTGGCACAAAATCGTACAATACAGTATGTTAATAGTAAATATGTAAACGTATTGTATATATTATGTGTCCAATAACTACTTGCGTTGCATGTCTAGTGGGAGCCGGTTAAGGTGGCATCAAAAAAAGGGAAGGTAAAAAGTAGATGATTTACGTTTATATTGATATAAGCTGTCACTTTGTTTTGCAGATGTGTACCAGCTATAGATATCAAGTAATATTTAGGTGAATGTGCAGCTCACATTATCACAATCTGTCACTGGTAAAAAAAAAAAGTTACTGGTGAAATTTAATGTGATTCAAACTCAAAGTTGGATCAAAAGCTGTAAATGGGTGAAGGGAAGAGGGGGTATTAAAAATCATACTGAATTTTTTTATATTTTTTTTAAAATTTTTTTTGCATGTTAAAAATAGATTTTAAAGACTTTCTGATATCCTATAAAATATGTCGAAATCTAATATTGCTACGCCGAACAGTTAAGTAAGAATGCATTCTCTAGTTTTCTCAGTTTTCTCGCTGCAGTTCAGCCGTAAGAAAGAATTATGTCATAAAATTACATCAAACAAACTTGAGGAGGGGGCCATCCATATAGTATGTACGACACTTTCTGTAAATTAAAAATTGGAAGTCGCAATTTTGATAACGAAATCATGATTAACTGTTTGGGGTCGTCCATTAATTACGTCAACAAATTTTACGTAATTTTTTACCCCCTCCCTCCCCCATGTCAACAACTGTCAAACTTTCACAGTGACCCCCCTATTTAATTATGTCAAAATTTTATAACATCCCCACCCCCCCCAAAAGAAAAAAAAGAATTAAATTGGGGTCGTCCATTAATTACGTCAACAAATTTTACGAAATTTTTTACCCCCTCCCTCCCCCATGTCAACAACTGTCAAACTTTCACAGTGACCCCCCTATTTAATTATGTCAAAATTTTATAACATCCCCACCCCCCCCAAAAGAAAAAAAAGAATTAAAATATAAATAAATTCACAAATACATTTTACTTTGTGCTGATCTATTTTAATAACACAAAATAGTTGGCAAAACATTTTATTACATGTCTAGCTTGTTAATCAACAAGTTAAAAAGTTTTTCCACTTAAATTTTATTATGCAGAATCAATTAAAAGGTTGTTAAATACTAAATATTGTTTATGGAAGTATAAATATGATTATTGTCAGTAAAGCTGACAATTATAGGGGTAATAAGGGGAGAGACTGCAATCAGGTTAGCACAATGTAGAATGAATAAAACAGAGTAGGGTTAAAACTGAAAAAAGAGACGCAACAAAACAACAAACGTGTCGGCACAAAGCCTTCGTCAGCGAACAAAATAGCAGAAAAAAACGGTCTAAAAATAAAATAAAAATAAGAAATATCACTTAGCTTGGACGTAGTGTCCGTGGGCAGCAAAAGAAATGTGACAGAAAGTAAGTAAGGGAGAGATTAAATAGGGAAAAGCGAAAGAGAAGAGGAGAAAAAAAGTACACTGCGATAGGTCAGGATGTGGAGGGGCGGAGCTAGGGCCAAGCTGTGAAAAAAGACATGACATTCATCCCATGTGGCGTCAGGGTACCATAAGTCAGGATAAGCCTGTGTTCCAAATTGACCCGACTGGGTGTGTTCGTGCTAGCCACGATCGCACTTACAGAAAAGTCCGTCTTGCCCTGGTGGTCGCTACTATTGAAGTATTTGGAGACGGGACACTGTTTATCTTGTGTAATGTTACGGAGGTGTTCGGTACACCTGTCAGAGAGACGGCGTCCAGTCTCCCCTATGTACGTCATCTGACAGCGGGTGCAGACAATGGTGTGGATAACACTGCGGCTTGTACAAAGGAAGCCGCCGCGTATCTTAAAACTGCCCTTAGGGAAACGTATATGTTGAGTCTGGATGACAAAAAGGCTGCGTCCACATGGCTTGGTCCAAAAGTGGGAGGGGGCAGCGTTGATACGACTGTGCACAAGGAGGTCTCTCAGATTTTTATCCCGTCTGAAAACAATGAGAGGTGGGGGAAGAGAAAATGTCTCTGGAGTCAGTGTCTGCGAGTAGTATAGAGCGGTGTTTAAGGAAAACACGTTTGGCTATCAGATTGTGAGGGTGATAAGTTATAATAAGTTTTGTCCTGTCAACATTGTCCCTCTGAAGGCATCAGCATGGGTAATATTCTTAACCCTTTGGAGGGCTGATGAAAGTACTGTCTCCGGGTAAGACCTACACCGGAAAAAGTCTAACATTTAAAGTGCTTCGTCTCAAAAGTCCTCATCTGACCGACAAAGTCGACAAAGTCGACAAGGTCGACGAAGACGAATTAATTGAGAAAAAGGAATAGAGTCTTTACAGGATTTAGGGTGGGAAGAAGAATAGAGTAGATAGCTGTGGCTGTCAGTGGGCTTAAAGTAGGCAGAGGTGAGTAGGCTGTCTTTGTGCAGAGTGACTGTAATGTCCAAAAAGTTGACTGAGGTCTCAGAGACAAGAGATGTGAATTTAATGGAGGGGTGAAAGGAGCCTACAAAGTTGATGAACAGGTCAAGTTCACTCCTCTCCATAGTGATGACCCCTATACCGTCATCTATGTACCTCTTATAGAATTCAGGGAGGCGTCCAGTATAGCTGCTTGTTCGAAATGCCCCAAGAACAAGCATGCATAGCTGGGTCCCATTTTAGTCCCCATAGGTGATGGTAAAGTCTCTCCAACAATAGTAAGATTGCATCCTCCGTACTTCTGGCAGGTTGGTAAGCAAATTGGTGGGGGTCAAGTTTTTGCTGTACATCATTCAAAATTTCGTTCAGAATAATTTTCTCAAAACATTTCATTACAACAGAGGTAAGTGCAACAGGTCGTAAGTCGTTGTTGCACGTCAACTTATTTTTCTTTGAAATTGGTATGATTTCTGAAGTTTTCCAAATTGCTGGTATTGTGTGAGTTACGTAAGATTTATTAAATATGTAACAAAAAATGTAGGACAGCTGCTCTAAGCATAGTTTAATGAACCGACCACATAATTTGTCTGGTCCCGAGGCCTTGGCTGTGTCCACTTGTTTAAATAACAACATCACTTGACTTGTGATGCAAAATAGAGTTACAGATTTTTTTAATCTGTTCAAGCAGCCATGTTATTATTGTTAATCCCTTTACTTTCCCCAGATTCTCAAAATATTGTATTCCTACTCTAACAATATCATTTATCTTGACTCCACATGACACCTAAAATTATATGACTATTTACACTCATTAAATTTATTAAAATAATGTAATAACCAGTCACTTTTCAAATAATAGAGAAAACATGATTTTTGAAGTCAACTAGTCTAAACCCCTCTCCCTCCCCTTGTCAACAACTGTCAAACATTTCCGACCCCCTCCTAATTTTTTGACTTAATTAATGGATGGCCTCTTTACGGCATTTCCAAGGTGAAAAGGAAGTAATGTATTGATGCATCTGTTTGACTGAGTGTTCAGTTTAACCCAAGATTTAGAATAATGTAATGATTGCATCAGTGTAGAGTGTAGACACACTGTTACAAGCCTGGTATTGCTTGGAAGTATGTATGTCTACCACACCATTTACTTTACAGAAATCCATGGTCCATACACAACCAAGTAGGCAAACAATAAGAAGAAGAACTTAGACTTATCACTTCTCAGAAGTCAAGAGATTTTTCATTTTTATCTATTCATAGTCATAGTAATAGTAATACTAATACTGAGTGATAGATAGTAATTTAAGTAATAGTAATTTACTAATTTAGTAATAGATAGGCCTAGATAGACACAAACACAAAATAGGCTAAATGTCTTCTCTTTGTTTGGCATATATTTAGCCATATTTACTTTACTAAATTCTAAATATGAAATATGCCAAACGAAGACTTCCGAAGATAATAATAAATATTTCAAAATGGCACTTACGAATAAGAACGATTCCTACTGGTCATTTTTTCAAATTACAAAATTGCTGTAGAAATGTAAGATTTTCAATTTTTTTTAGATTCACAAATAATTAAATTTTCGGTACCCAAATTTTCTACTCTCATCATTCTGTCACAACAGCACTATACGATTTTACAATCCTCCATTTTTAAAACCGGTGTTTGGACACTGTTAAACACCCTGAAATAGGTCTATTTTTTTTATGGCTGCGGCTATTCGGACCCGGGTTTCAAGAGATTCAAGAGTGACTGGTTGGGTTTATTATATATATATATATATATATATAATATATATATATATTATTATATATATTGGGTTTTTAAGATACAATTTGGTATCAAATTAACGATAATTGAATGGACTATATACTATATGTTTTTAAACTTACTTCTTCAATTTAGCTAAAATAATCTACCACAAAAGGACTATTAAGGATTTAGCACATTGAAACAGTTGTACTTTATTGAATTTGTAATCGTTTTTTTTTTTTATTGAATACTTGATGCGGCCCAGTCTCACTCAGACTCTACCTCCTGCGGCCCCGGATAATTTGATTTTGAGACCCCTAGTACAAAAATAAAGTCCTATTATGCCTATGACTATGAGACCAATGATTTTGATTATGTGATAGTAATACCCCAATTTCTTTTTCAAAATGTGACACACTTTTATTAAACCTATGCAATTCGCGACCTTCCCCAGATTCGCATAAGAAAGCATTTTAATAATATTAATATGATAAAATTAGCATTTTAATTATCTTACTATGACAGGGCTACTTATTTTATGTTAAATATATTCAGAGCAGGCACGTGACTGTGATTTTTGCCCCCCCCCCCTCTTGGCCACTTTTCAGTGTTGTGCCCCAGCATTCAAAGTCAATAGTTTAATTTCAATAAGAGACCCTTAATTATCCGACCCCCCCCCCCCCTTGCAGCCACCGCGCCATAGTTGCACTTCAGAATCAGTAGCCTACTTTTCAAGGGGAAAAAGGTCATGAACAACTTTTTGCCATCTTCTATATTAAGTCTGTTTTTGGCCTTTAAGAAAAAATGCGTGATATTTAGCGGCTAATGGAATAAAAATAGGAATAATATATGGCTAGCATAGTAACTATAGAAATGAATTATACATAGTCAGCAGAAAAGGCCGGAGTAGGGAGCAACACCCGCCCGCTTTGGGAGATCAAAAAGGGAAATAGATAGCAAGAAAAGAAACAGTGGGTGAAGCGTAGATTCTGTTATCTTCTTGTTTTTAAAATACCCCTTTTCACAATTTTATCCAATTTAAGTTCGGCTAATACAGCGTCAGCAGGGATCATAAAATTAGTAAAACAAAGTAAGGTTAAACGTGAATAAGATTTCTGTTTTGTTCGCCGACGAAGGCTTCCTGTCGACACGTTCGTTGTTTTGTTGTGTTCCTTACAAAGTAAGGTTAAACATGAAATTTACTTATTTCATATTGTGCTACCCTGATTGCAGTCTCTCCTCTTATTAACCGTCAGCAAAGATCAATTGATTACTATTATTTTTATGAGCATGTACAATCTTCAATGTCAATTGGCTAGGATTAGCCAATAATCAGTGTGAAATCGTGCTTAAAATGGCATCGGCATCGGGTGAGATAAGGCGCTAAAAAGAAATAAAAATTGAGACTTAAAAAGAATTCCCATAAATAGCTAAATAGAACCTATAATTTAATAAATTGAAGCATATTTTCCATGTTACATGCTAAATAATGTGCAACAACACGTCACTTCATTATCATTAAACGTGAAATGTAATGTCAATGTAGTGAAAAGATGATTAATTTTTGAATGATGCAAACGAGTAAATTCAGCAGGTATTCGTTAAAATGCATTCCTTTTATTTTAAATATATCCCCAAAAAATTCTTACCCCTTCCCCAAACCCATCCTTTTCGACACCCTAATTTTGCTCTCCATTACTACATGGTTCATGGGTCATCATCCCTTTCTTATTTCAAAAATCCTGGCTATGAAACTGTACGGCTGTGCGTAGCACATAAAACCTGTTTCAGTTAATGTTTTGTCAAACGTTAGGAAACGTTCCATGGATTCAATAATAAATCATGCACTACTTTTAACAGGGAATGTTGACCACATTCAAGGAAACAGAGAACCGTTTTTCTATCATTGCAGATTTATTCTGTAATCTCAGTAAAGCATAATTAGAATTCCTTTGAAAAAAAATCTTGTTTCACAGTGTCGCGAAGTTCACCTTCATATTCTTTAAACACAAAACATTATTTTTTCAAACAATTTTATTCATGTCTCCTTTCCAGTACCAGTATAGCAGCTTGGATATGGATGCCCCAAGAAAGTCTTGAAATAGTAAATAAAATAACTTGTGTTTCCAGTCCGAGAAACTTCAGTTTCTTCTAATTTAACTTTAATTAAGTACATGCTAATTCTCTAGGCAAGATTCATCAAATAAGTCAAGAACAACATAATTTCCGCTCACTAGCAGCTACCAACTCAAAGATGAGTTTGATATTTCCATTCAATTTACTATAACCTACAAAAGACTTAAATATCCAATAATTTCAATTGTCTATTTTCAACAAGTGTCTTGTAAGCTGGTAACGGGTATTTTCCAAAACGGTCTTTGAGCATAAAATAAATTACCCGTACAAGAACCAGATCTTATCCAATGACTGACTAAATAAAGCCAAGAGCGCGTATGTTAAAAATGGCCGCATATACACACTGTACACAGAATCAGTTTTTAATTTAGTTAGCTAACCAGGTAGGACTAATTATAATTATTAATTTTAATACATGGCCTTGCTCTAGTCTTGTGGGCCCTCATGCTGTATACTCTGCTACATCCTCTAACTCTAAGCTTACGTATGACTGACAGTGACGAACAGATTAGTAGTAGTAGCCTACCCGGACTATGATTATTATGATGACATGATCACATCCATAGGCCATAGTCATAGTATGATTATGACATTATGATGAGTAACTAGGAACTGAAACCAATCAGCACTGTTGTTTTCATTTATTTATGGATTTCGTTTATTTGTTGTTTGTACCACTGGACCTAGCACTATAACTATTTAGTCTACATAGACATAGGAGTAATCTGTACACTGTAGACTGTAGTCAATGTAGTGTAGTACAGCTTTGAGTGGTGTGTGTTGTCAAGTTGTCTTTTTGCTAGGAAAGTTTTAGTAAAAACAAAGTCAAATATAACAGATCAACGTGGTGGTCATCTGATTTCACCCTAGGAGTAATAGTATTTGCAGAAGGAAGACAGAAGACTAGGGACCTCGGTATCGACCGGAAATACCCGAAAAACGGGTATCGTATTTTCGTTGTCATTATGGCGACCTCTACTTTTTAATTTACCGAGGGTATCGTTGTTTCGCGTTTCATAATCGATATTTAGCATAATAATAAAATTTTACTTCCACCAATTACTTAAAGCCGACATCTTTCCTGTTATATTAAGAGTTTGTTTGATTTTTTGGGTTAAGATTAAAGCTTTGAAAATTGAAGTTAAAAATTGGTCAACTTCACTCAAGAATAACTTAATTTAAAAAATGCGCTCTTAAATAAAAATACTCCGCTCTTCTAGTTTATATGTTCATTTAAAACATATCCAAAATTCATGAGTGTAGACCATGGGTAGGTAGTTCGGTAAGATCCGGGAAGTGCCGAAAACCGGGTATCGTGATTTCGTTGTCAAAATGGCGACCTCCACTTTTTAATTTACCGAGAGTCACGTTGTTTACGACTTTTTAACTATATATAGCCCAGCATGTTAATTCTATTTCCGCCCACAACTTAGAGTAGACATGTTGTGTTATGATTAGACACTTGAGTCCCCCAAAAAATTTTGGGGCTTCATTTTGAAAATTGAAGGTAAAATAACACAATTTTTACTCATTCATATTTTTTGTGTGGAAAGGAACCTTTCTTTGAATTTCAAGGACTTTATAAATAATGGCATTAACTACAACATATCCAAGACCTGTTAATTTAGGCCCATCAGTTTGGTCATAAATTTCCTCGGAAATTTCAATCACGTGTGTTCCAAAACTACCTATTATCGTTAATATTCGTTGCTATGGTAAATAACCTGATTTACTCTGGAAATCCAGCCTATTACCCCCTAATAACTTATTTATAAATAAAAATAAAATAATTAATAAAACAAATACATATTTTTAATGTGATTTGATGCTTTTATTGAAGGATATTAGGTTAAAAAAGCCTAATTAATTACAATTCATAGTTAACTATTAGTTTTATATACTGTTATATGTATACTATTAACTATATATATATACATATACTATATATACATATATGTATATATAGAGGCCCAGAATAGTATTACTATTATAAGTGTAGGCCTATCCCCCTCCCCCACCCCCCAATAATTATTTGTAGGACCCATTATTCATATGTAATGATATATATGGTGATTCTTAAGGCATAAATTAAGTAAAAATTTACAAAAAAATATTCACTTACCTTTGTTATTGAAATATCCTATATTTAATCACATATCACACTATTCCAAAAGAGAATTGTTATATAATCCTCAGTATTCTCAAAGAAAAAACACACTTTCTGCCACAATAATCCAAGAATTACATGAGATATTACTAAAATTTAATAATAAAACATTGTAATAACCTCATGCAAATAACTAGAACTTATTTAAAATTCTGTCAACAGCCAAAGTTGATTCTTACAAGAAATGTTGATCTGTGAAACAACTTTACTAACTTAAAATAAATGACATACTATTTTTTGTCATGTTCACACTAGGGGTGTGCCGGACCTCGGTCCGGAATCCGGTTCCGCCGGATTTTGCACTATCCGGTGAAATCCGGTTCCGCCGGATTTACATGTATCCGGAACAACCGGATTCCGGAATCCGGAATATACCGGATTTCGGAATTTGCCAGATTTTGTGACTCACCGGATCATAATCTGAAATAAAAGTAATTCTCTTTCCCGAATTTCACACGATCACGATACATTAATCGATTGTTTCGAGCGTTGAGCTTGTTTAATGTTTAATATTCCGTACATACCAGAGGCTAGAGTCAGCACCGCTAATAGTGGCCAATAGTGTAGGGACTTTGATAAGAAAATTTAAACTTTTTGTAAAAATAAACCAATGGCATAGTTGAAAAGATGTAATTTTTTAAAGAATTATAACACCAAAATCATATTTTTAGCTGTTGTAGTTTTAAAGTTATGA